GAATTTCAAGTATGTTAGATTTCCTTTCTCAGAATCATTTCTTTTTTCTACTTCTTTCCCCATTCCCTGCCCCCAGCCCAGGTGAGGGCCGTCTTCCTCACCCCAGTCTCTTCTCCTCCCATGATAAGAAGAAGGGTGGCTGCTGTTGATGGTGGGCCCTGGGATGGGGACTCTCATCACCATATTTACCCCTCAGGAAAGGGGACCGGAAGACAAGGAAGCAGGGCTAATGCTTATGCAGTGTCAGCCACAGGTCAAGTTCTTTGCTAGATGTTACCTCTACATTGTCTCCTCAGAGTGACCATTGTACATTTTACCAGGGACCAAATCATGCATTTAGATGGTCCATACTTGCTCATGGCTAGTAACTAGTAGAGTTAAAGTTGAGGCCATCTCATCCCCTATGTACCGAGCTGCTATTATTTGGGGGAGGATTACTACCACTGTCCTCATTTTATAGATGGGGAACTGGCCCACAGAGTGATTGTATAATGTACCTAACATCACACCCTAATGAGGGGCAGGATCTAAATCCAGGTCTTTCTGATTTCAAAATCTGAGTTGCAAGTACCACCTTGAATTGCCTCCCATGCTTGCCTCACTCCCTGTGCACCTGTCTGTAATTAGGCCCCACTCAAGCCCTCCCTGAACACAGAATTTTTTTTTTTTTTTGCTATTCCTCTGCTCAGAAACAGCCTGTGCCTGTTTCCTAGGTCTGAAGTCTTTTATTTATTTGGACGTTTAAGGCCCTCTGAGGTCTCTCCTGACCCCTGGCCCTTATTCCTGCTGTGCTCAGAACCCATCCCCCTTACGGTCGCACCAGCACACCGGATTCTCCTGACTCCAGGTCTCGCACCAGCACACCGGATTCTCCTGACTCCAGGTCTCTTTCATCTTGTTCTCTTCATCTCTGCACCCAGCTTTTCCCAATACCTATCCTGTGCTGGCAGCGTCTGGAGGAAGGTCTGAAATTCTCCACCGGTGAACCTGAACCTGCCTTCTCTCCACTGCCCAAGGCTCCCCTTTCTGGCCAGCACTGTGGTCTTTCCCCTCCCTTGCTATGCTTCCTGTCTGAACCTTCTCCAAACATGCGGTGCCGTGTGGAGCTTCATTAAGGAATCTTATACATCTCACATCATAAGGGAATTCCATGAGGGCACAGACCACGTAAGGACAGTCCTGAGACCGAAGTAGCTGCTAAATGAACAGACTTGGGATGAGTTATCAGTTTGTCATGCTAGTG